ATATATACATCGAACCTTCTGTAAGAAGAACTCCGACTAGCTTAGCTTTAGGCTACTGGATTACGGTAGTGTCTTGCAGGCAAAAGTGAATTATATTAAGGGAGCAGTAGACTTCCTGCTCTGAAATGCAGTTTCTTTCAGCTCACAACCTGTGCTCTCAAAGTTAGTCAGCGAATCTTTAATATCTCTAGATATAGCATCAAGCTACTTCAATATCCAACTCGTTTGGGTACCTGTACATAGCGCAATAGCTGGAAACTACGTAGCTTGCTAGAGGCTCATCCTTAACTCGCTCATATCACATGGACTAAGAGGCTCGCGTGAGCTTAGCAGACGTTGGTTGACAACCAGCTTCAGGTGACTTATTTTGGTCTGGAGTAGAACATAGGATATCCACTCAGCTACTTCCTCTTAGCAAAGTTTATCTTGGAGTTTTTACTGAACATTGTTTAATAGACATCCATAATGTAAGGCTAAAAATCCAGATCTGGAAGAAGGTGGGATGGAAATATCCAAGCACTTTCCTTACAATGTCCAGCTTTTGCAATTTGAAGCTGAATCATCTCGGCAGGCTGGCCTCGCTTCTTCTACGAATCAGAGCTTTAACGAAACCGACATTACCAACCCAAAAACACTTTATAGATTTATGAGAGTTTTATTGATCAGTTTTACAGAAGTTCTAGATACTATAATGGATCAGCTATTAGCTATCCAAAAGAGTTTTATATTACGAGCGACCTTTTAACGTAATCTAGCCTAATCTTTCCTGCTAACTATTACTTTAACAATTTTGAATTTATCAGTCTCTGTAAATTTTCCTACCAGGCTATTACCTACAAACCGTTATGTTTCGTATTGATTGATAGCTCTATGAATGCCTGCCACAAAAAATCATCACCATCAATGCTGGTTGGTGGTGAATTAAGCGCCAACAATTGTGTGTTTAAAAGCATTTTGCGTCACTTTGCTGATGCCACATCAATACAGTCAATTGCTTTGCAACCAACAAAGAACAATGGTTGTTGTTCAATACATAAATAGTTTGCCGCTACATATAGAGGCTTACAAATGAATGTGCAAAGATGTGCAGTAATGATGTGAGAGAAAGGCATGTACTCATAACAAAATTGTAGACTGGTTTCACAGCAGATTGAGTAAGGACGCCGAGCTTTAAAAAGTGTAAAATTATTATTTGTTTTTTCGTGCAAAACTTTTAACTCATAAATACAGGGAAATAATAAATATTGTGGAACGCATTTTCATTTACTGTCACTCTATGAAAAATTATCAATTAATAGGATGAGAGGGAAAGTGATAGTTAGAGGTACAGCGAGAGGGAGAGGGAGGGGATAGACCAGATAATCAAACTTTTGCTTTTGCCGTGGAGGTAATTAAGAAAGAGAGCTCGAAATTACCCTCGATCGCAAGCAGCCACACTTTAGCCACCTCTTGGGTTCTTCTTTGACTATAATTGCTCTTTTAAGGAAATAAGAATATAAAATAAAGGAACGAAAACATATATACTTATGTATCGCTAAAAGAGAAGATAGCTTAGATTCTATGTTAGGTACGATTCTTTAAGATAAAAACTTTAAACGTCCACTGCCATCTACCGGGAACTCTCCATCAACTGTGGGCCCATGTAGTGTCTTTCAAGTGAAGGTGGCTGGTATGAAGATAGAAAAAATGTAATGATCCAAAGTCCACCTTCCTTCAGCAAGGTGCGCCTTCGCTCCAATAGCGGCAATATTGACTTTGAGCTCGTCGACTCTAGTCAAGTACAGCATGACCTGATTAGCAATACATCAAACTTATTCTGTATTAAGCTTTTTTGGATGTCCAGTCTCAGCGGAATCGTCAGAAACTGCATTACTCCATTATTGGAAGTCATCTTATTATTTAACGCTGAACCTACGAAGCTCGGCAACGCTGGTCAACGCTGGTCAACAACCACTTGTGTGGCTGTGAGTTCCTTTTGGTTCAGATTGAACCGTAAGAACAGCATTGAACTACTTGCCTTCAGCAAAGTCAATCTCACCGCAATTGTAGCGGTTCTAACTTAACTTTGATCAATAAGGCCACACGCAGTGTTCCTAAACATTTTGTTGAACGCTTCTTCTTAAAGATGTATGAAGGAAGGCGAGGCGGAATCAGCTATTCTCGTTCTTCTCAATTACTTAGTTTTTTTCGAAGCTAGTCAAGTGACTGGGAGTGACATTAACTGTCTTACACATTTGTGGTAAGCTGAAACCGCTTCGTCAATCTATAAGGATTTGGTGATCCATTTAAGAATTGTTTGAATATCTAGGAGAAGCAACGTGCTCAGCGAGCCAACTCTGCAACTCTTCAACCTAAGTTAACCTCACCTAACTTTTGAACGTGCAAATCCTCATTTTTCTGTATGTAACTTATGCTTCAAATGTACGTATTGGTAGATGGAGCCATGTATAGAAGTTAATAAAAATGAGAAAAGTTCTCAAAGCGCCATTCACTTGCCGACAAAAGACTTAGAGACAAAAAACATCCGTTTCAAGGCCAGCTAAAGTGACAAGGCGAAACAAAATTAGGGTTTGATAAATCGTTATATATGTTAAATAGATCCAATTTAGCATAAATCAGTTTTAGGCCCCAAAAAAACTTGAGAACTGAAAATCACTTGATAATAACTGTTTTTGAGTTCTGATGATCACTTCTTTTGACAGTATCCTAAAATATACAGTCTCATTGGAGACCCAAGAACAATAAACATTTAACATTTCCGAATTTTGGGGAAGATGATACTTCTTTCTAGTAGATGATTTTTAGAGAAATTTGCACTAATCTGCTTTGAAAAGTCGACAGTAAAATTTGGATTATAGAAAACTATGAACTTTGCAGTTGAACTTTAGACAGTATTTTTGTGGGCACCAGTACTGTCAACTGTGGGAAGTTCCGTCTCTCGTTTGAGAAACAATTTTACAGTTAGGTACTCTTTTTCAGTGAAGAGGAGCAATAAATTTAAAATGAATGCGAAAAGTCAATTTCCTTGCTATCTAATTTGGAAACCGAATAATTTTATATATAGTTATGGTCAGTCATCAAAAAGTTGACTCATGCGAGTTGTCCACAACCAACTCTGTGTAAAATAGCATCGACAAAATCAAGGAGATAGTGATTGAAAATCATCGTATTGGTATCAGATAGATCACAAGAGATGTCATCATAACTTATGAACTCATAAACGGCACAGATCCGAAGGCTGGCGGCTACATCCAGTAGAAGGAAGCAGGCGTTGGTTGATACTAACGCCCATCCTACAGGTTGTGGCAGGCCCAACTTCAGTCAGCGAGGTGAGTGATTATTATTTTTTACAAAATTTTCTAGTGGTAGCTAATCGACCCCACTTCCAGAAATGTTCTAGACATAACACTAAGATTGGTGGAAAACTGGCTGGTAGCAAGCACACCGTCATTCTCTGACCATTTACTTCTCCTAGGATAGCAAAAATCCCAGGAATACAAACTGGCATCTCTACAGGCAGATACTATTCGGCAAGAGGCTTACACTTTGCGTGTATAACTCGCATAAAGAGCTTGGCGTGACTGTATTTACGAATGCTCTAAATACAGTTTNTCGGCAAGAGGCTTACACTTTGCGTGTATAACTCGCATAAAGAGCTTGGCGTGACTGTATTTACGAATGCTCTAAATACAGTTTTTCACTATGCATGCCCTACGTTGCGACTCAAGCACAAAACGAGGCCCCCTTCGTATAACAATAAGCTTGGGTTTTGCAGACGCAAAGTACGGTAATGCTTCAACTGAGCCAAGCTAACAGAAAGCAAGTCACTACAAGAAGTTGGTGCGCAGGAAGAAACGAGAATTCTGGAAAAACTTTTGTAGTGCATTTGAAAAGACCCCCGAGGTGGCGAAACCTAGAAAGCCACGTTCCGAAATTTCCCCGCCTCACCCGATCTAATTCGCAAAAGTAGCGGAGAACACCGCTTTAAGGAGAATAAAATAATAATGTTCATTCGACACATACAAATATCTCTGTATGGACAGAATCAATCTAGGAATGCTACAGAATGCGCTCTGTCCATCTGTGACATAGCTAAAAGTGATTTTTAGGGAATGCATGAAGTTCAGCTATGTGCCACACTCGTGGAGAAAGGCTAGAGTAGTTTTCATACCGACGACAGGTAGGAATAACCCAATCTTCAGGCAATTTCAGAATCAACATCTACGTTGACAGCCAAGCGGTAAACGAGGCATATCGACCAGAAGTGTCTTGGGAAGCAAGGCGGCAGTGGAAGGTGTTGATAGAAGCAAGCAAGTTCACTTCACGGTCTCGACAAAAGCACCGCGCAAGATGAGGCTGACAGAACGAGAAGACTGCAGAAAATGTCTAGAGGAGAACTCCCGAGAAGCAATGGAGCATCTCTTGCGCACTTGTCCCGCTTTGGCAAGACTATGAATCATGTTTGGAATAATCCATAGAAAATTTAGACCACACGTGGGCATTATTCTCTCTGTAAAAAGAGACCTTTGGATGCTCTAAACTACCTTAACATGAATAAAATTGCTTAAATTAACTCACGTTTTTCCAAAAAATTACAGATCCAGTAATAAATCATTCATAATTTCGCCTACGTACGAAAAAGTCAAAGTGACTTCAAGGTAAGTTGAAAGAAACTAAAAACTAAACTCTCATTAAGTCTAAATGAATAAGGCGATTGTAGTGTTAATTAAAAATATATTAATGAGGTAAACAAAGGCACGCAGAGCAAAGGCATCACTTTTGTAGCGCATTTCTGAAGGTATTACTTGCGAGAGCGCCACTTAAAACGCCCACCCATACGCAGCTAAGCGCTGCTATAACGCAGACACACACACACACAAACACAGTGCCAACAACGTCCGCGCACTATTTTCCTAGCGGAGTATAATAAAGGAAGTAGCTGAAAATAAAGGCGACAACAAAAGCTGGCAAATAGTAACTATTTCCGCGACGCCACTCACCTTATGCCACCCACATTGAGTATAATCCGATTTTCGCCATCCATTTTGTATAGCGTAATCTGGCAGCAGCAGCATTCGCTCGCACGCTACGTGCTCCGCCGCCGCTCAAGCAGCCGCAGCTAACTTATGCATTCCTTGAAATTACACGCGCTTTTTTATTACGTATACGCCAAGGTGGTCAGTGGGTTTTAGTGTAAATGTAAGCCTAAAAAGCCTTTTGAGATTTTTTTCACTTTTTTATACGTTTTTTTTTTTAAGTATGTAATTTACCGTTAACACTTTCTTTGTCACAAAATATTTTTTTTTCTACTTTTTATTGCACTCAAACACTTTCCAAAGCTCTTCCTTTTAACTTTCACTTTATGTTGGCAACGCAATTCCCCTTACTTTTCTACTTTACGCTTTGCTAGTGCCAGGTTTTCATTAGTTGCGGCATGAGCGCAGTTTCTTTTTTTCGACTTCCGGTGAACTTGTTATATTATTACTTAATACTTTTTTTATATTTTTGTCTTTTTGTTTATTATTTTCAAATTTCAGAATTTTCTCCAAGAATACACTATACTACATATATTTACTTTTTAATTACACATTTTGCTTCCTAATTTTTAAAAATTGCAGCTTGTTTTACTTTTGTTTTGCATACTTGAGCTTTGGTTGCATATTTTAATAATTTTTTGTGGGCCTTAGTATTTTCATTTATTAGGAAAAAAAATATTGATTTATATACGTCGTCTTCTTTGTTTAGGCTTTCCGCAAACTTCTTCATAATTTTTTATGCAACTAGCATTTTTGGTACAATTTTAATTTATTTTCATTTTGTTTGTTTTAGTGTTGGCTTTACTTTAGTTAAAAACAAAAAAAATTATTCTGGTCTTTTGGTTACCTTTTTTGCTTCGAGTTTCTGAAAACATTTAAAAGACATTATTTTCTTTTCGAGCATTACTTTAAAATTTGTAAAAATATTTAAATTTGGTAGTTTATTTTGCTTACCAATAATTACGGAATACCGATAGTAGTACTAAAGGTAATGGAGAAAAAATGTCCGCACTTCTTGCTATCCATGTAATGTAAGGTATAGAAGAGACAGCAACTAACTCTGATAAGCAAGACGAAAGGAGAGCCTAGAGCACCTTCAGCATACTGACCTCTATGTGTGCTAGGTATAGCAGTAAAAAGAAGGGTGGAGTAGGCACGTCGAAAGAACGTGCCAGACGGCTGCTATCTCGCTCGTTCTGCACACGATTTCACTGTCATCTTAACACTAATACAGCTGGACATAAATTACCACAAGCTATGCTGTGAACACAGGCAAGATTGGTCTCACGCAGCCTTATCCCAGACGCGGAGCTAGTTCATCCAACACACGGAAAGAACTGCGCTTATCTAGCACACCAGGAAACACATTCCGCTATCTAAACGACGAAAACCCTAAAGGATTTCCGTATTACAATTGATAGCAATCTGACGTACTGGACTCGAATTCAAAGTTCAGTGAATATTGCAGGTAAGTTTTGCGTACAAGTAAACTGCACGCACATAATTCATTGTCAGCATTATTATATGGTAGCGAAATATGGGGAAATATGGAAAAATATGCATATATTACTGTGGACAAAAAATAGTAAGACTTTCGTCGAAATATTTTTTTCTCTGATGGGTTGGTTGTCAGTGAGTTTATGCCAAATGTCGCATCAAAAGTCACTAGCGTTTAGTTTAAGCTTGTCAATCTGAAGTACATAAAAAGTATTCTGCGACTTTTACGATGAGTGAAATTATTCAACAAAGAAGTTCCATTAAATTTGTGTGCGAAATAAAATATATGGTACCCAGATATTCAGAATATTGGAAAAGGCTTTCGATGATAATTTTTTGAAGTGAGTAAGTGTTTTTAATTGGTATAAATTATTCGAAGAGGGAGGAAAGCGCGTTGACGGGGAACGAATTCCAGGACGGTCATCAACTGTTGATCAACACGTTAATTAAATAAAGGAGTTGTTGCTTGAGAATCGGCGATTAGCAGTCAGAGATCTAACTGGCATCGTTTGCAAGATTATTTGGGCCTAAGAAAAGTAAAAGCACGGTTCGTTCCAAAATTACTACATTTTTCCCTAAAACAGCATAACGTTAACGTCTGTGACACAATGCTTTCCGACTACCAGGATGTAATGAAAGGGATTTTTACTGACGATGAGACTTGAATCTATTCTAGAAACGCTCTGTGCTATGAAGGTTATTCTGCAAATTGACTTTAACAACTGTTTCGATGATTGGAAAAAAAAGTTGGCACAAATGAATCGTGGCGAAGACTATAATAGTAAAATAAAAATTGTAAGATTTAAAATTGTGATTAAAGTCTTACTATTTTTACTGAAACTAGTATTTACAGCGATATGCCACAAGAAATGTAATCCATGCTTTCTTAAGGGGCTATACCAGTGTGACGCATGAAAAATTAGGCTATATTCGTTATTTTTTTAAGAGAAAGTACGTGGTTGAACATTTCGAACTTCTTTGAACGTAATAAAGTATATTTTCAGCTATATTTTAAGATTTTTCTTTTTATACAAATTTGGAAAAATAACGGACTTGTGGGCTGCCTTCGGAGGGGCCTAAAGTGCCCCAACAGCTGGCATGATTCCGGCCGAATGAGTAGCTGAAACAAAAAAATTTTTAAATTTTATTAAACGTAAAAATGTTTCTTATACAATGACCTATGATCTTTGAAAAATATCAAAAATTTATAAAATGGCGTAATTTTGAAAAACAAAATTTTTTTTTTCGGTAAAAAATTGACTAATTTTAACCAATCAAAAGGATCGTAGATCACTGTTTGATTTTGAGGTCAATCGGTCAATTTTTCGTTGAGTTATGATGTCAGCAATTTTGAAAAATACTGTTTCAAGAAAAACGTGTTCAAAGTTTCATTTATGTATGTTTGCACCTCCGAGCGGTCGCTCTTTAGAACGCTGTCGACCAAAAACTATTCAAGATACGATTTCACAGGATATTTATGGAGATATAAGCTATCGAAAAAGCAAATAAAAAAAATTTTTTTTTTTTTTGAAAGTGTCACACTGGTACGAGTATAACCCCTTAAGTGCCGCCGATAGAAGAAATATGTACTAAGTGTGCGCTAAAAACAACGAGACTCGTAGATTTTCTCCCTCCGGATAAGCCAAAACGATACCAAATGGCATCCCTGGATGATCCAAGTAGAGATACTTTTTTCAATAGTCTTTCTTTGACAGATTACGCGAGAGTCGTGTCGAGCTGTTATGTTATTTTTGTTCAGGCATTTCATCATGGAAAGGCTTACGCTTGCACAAAGTTTACAAATCGTTCAACCTTTCTTTCTGTAGGAATGTCGCGCGCTTTGCTCAACTTATGCTATTCTATGCTTTCGTTATTGGATAATATTCGACCGAATATACCACGTCCCGCACGCAGTGAAGAAGATATAGCAATTGTGACTGAGAATGTACACGAAGACCGTAGAGAGTGAATTCGCTATATGAGCTCTCTCGATCATTTGTAGTCAAATTTTGTTCAGGGATAAAGTCCATTTCGGGCAAAATTGAAGCATTTGAGACGAAGGGCAACCTGAACAGATTCAAGAGCTGACATTTCATTCATAGAAAACATTGATTTAGACTGGCTTGTGGTCCGGTGGAATCATCGGTTCATTTTCAACAAAAAAAAAAAAAGCGACCATTATCGCGCCTCAATATTCGACTGCTTGATGTCTGACATTGAAGCTTGTGTTATGAGCGATATTTGGTTTCAACAATACATTGCATTAATCAATGAATTTATTACGAGAACACTTCGGTTAGCAGATAATTTTAAAATACAAGATCGTACTATATCATACATATATATATTTCCTGTGGAGATATGTAAAGTGTAAAGTCTATGCGGATAAATCCGCTTCGATTCAGGCCTTGGAGCAAAACATTACAACTGTTATCCGCCAGTTACCAGCGAAGTGCTCGAACGAGTCATCAAAAATTGGCCTCAACGGCCAAGAAAGAGATAATATTTAAAATATAAATGCCAAAGAATGTTCGTCCGAATCTTACAATAATAATAATAAACATTTTGTGTTTTTATTTAAAAAAGTAGGGAACCTCGAAATTAACCCTTAAGTTTCTTTGATCACTTTAATTTTTAGTTTTTTAATTTTCTTTGATCATTTACTTAATTTTTTATTGACTTTAATTTTATTATTCTTAGTTTTTATTATTGCTACTTTTTATATTTTATTTATATAGTTTTTTTTAAATAAAATTATTTTAGCATAATTTTTGTAATTTTTTCTTCTATCATTTTCTTAACAGTCTTTATACCTGTCTCTTATACACATCTAGATGTGTATAAGAGACAGATATATACCAAAGTGATCAGGGTGACGAGTAGAGTTGAAATTCGGATGTCTGTCTGTCCGTCCGTCCGTCTGTCCGTCTGTCCGTCCGTCCGTGCAAGCTGTAACTTGAGCAAAAATTGAGATATCATGATGAAACTTGGTACACGTATTTTTTGGCTCCATAAGAAGGTTAAATTCGAAGCACGTATTTCTTGGCGCCATAAGAAGGTTAAGATCGAAGATGGGAAAAATCGGCCCACTGCCACGCTCACAAAATGGCGGAAACCGAAAACCTATAAAGTGTCATAACTAAGCCATAAATAAAGATATTAAATTGAAATTTAGCACAAAGTATCGCATTAGGGAGTGGCATATTTGGACACAATTCTTTTGGAAAAGTGGGCGTGGCCCCGCCCCCTACTAACTTGTTTGCACATATCTCGAAAACTACTATAGCTACGTCAATAAAACTGTATAGAGTCGTTTTTTTAGGCATTTCCATATACAGTTGAAAAATGGAAGAAATCGGATAATAACCACGCCCACCTCCCATATGCGTTAACCGACTAACAAAAAACGTCAGAAACACTAAATTTTACGGAAGAAATGTCAGAAGGAAGCTGCATCCAGGTTTTGTTTAAAAATTGAAAATGGGCGTGGCGTCGCCTACTTATGGACCAA